TATGTCGCCTACGCCTACTCCCTAACCCGAACCCTAACCCTAACCCTAACAAATAGTGACCAGGGTACGTTCCGGTATACCGGACCGTACCCAGGGTACGTTCCGGCAGTACCCTGGGGGACATAGACCCTATGAGCTGTACTAGACAATAACTGAAAGATATCCCCAGTTTCATATTCAATAAGCTCCCAAGTTGATTCGTTGATTTTGGACAGGTTTGGTTGTTGAGCTTTAATTTTAGTTTTGCTCTTGATGTCTTTTGGATTGACTCTCCTAAACGCAGTGTACAATTTTAAAACGTAGATACTACTGTTTAGATTTTTACACCTTCTTGCCAGGCAGCTGCTACTATAATTAAGATTCTGCCAACTATATCATGTCAGATGGATTACTGAAGATCAAATATAGTGCCACAGAGCAGCACTGCACAACTGAATCTGCTAATGCTACTGGTATTGCTACAACTATTCCCACTGCTTCTACTATTACTATTTAAATAGTGTTAGAACTCCTGCTACAGCGGCTACTTCAATTCTCATTACACTGTTATTGATGTTGCTGCTACGACTCCTACTACTGTTGTTGCTATATGCACACAGGTACAGGCTTCACTAGCAACCTAGAGCATCGTTGAGACTAAAAAATCGATGTCTAGCCCATATCTAGAGCATCGAAAGGTCATCACGAACCAACCAAATACGAACACCATATACGTACATCGGACGGTACTCATACCGCTATAGTTGACGGATGAATAGGCAGATGTATAGACAGATAGACGGTGCCAAATATACCATGTGAATGTCAGCAGAGTAAAAATAGATCCATGTCCATTAACTAGTGACAATCATAGTAACAGCCTATGTTTGTATGAGAAGTAAGGCTACATACCAAGGCAAAGCACTTGCTGGTGTTTTTGCCGAATAAAATTCATCTCAACTCAGAAAATATTCATTACATACATAAAGATTAACAATAGGTATAAGCAAAAACTCTATGAACATGAAATTAACTACCTAGTATACCCCATACTGATGCATTTCAATTTGTAGGCATACAGCTGTATATTCTGGCCGCATAAATGGGTGCAAACATCCATGCATGGGTAGCAGTGCGAAGAACTTAATCTTTCCCTAGTGATTTATGGTAGGCATAACAAAGGCATGGCACCTGTAATTTTGTGCATTGAATCATTTGTGGTTGGCATTTGTGGTTGAACATGACTTGGGCAGGCTAGTTGCTGCGATGCAGAAACAAGTCATTCAAAACCAAATTAAGGTGCTCCCAGGATTCAAGACCAACTGTAGGTGGAGGACTTTAGAATATTTGGAAATCCTTCCAAACCTCTATTGAAACATTCCTGCTCTACATGCACATGCAGTCGACTGATCAAATATATTCAACTAGATATCATTATTTTTAATGCTAATATATTAGCTTGTAAAAACCAGTGCTAATATATTATTACCCAAAAGGCATATAAAACAAATAGAAAGACAATACTAATGAAAGTGTCAATGACACTATAGCTCACCTTGGGTGTGATAGAAGAGGGAGATGATATTTAAAATTTGGTAAGTGTTTCATTTATGACGAACCGAAATGTGATCAAATGTCCTTATTCCCTGTTTTATACTAATAGACATTTTACTGTTTTGTTTCAGGGTTAGTTTTGACGCAAAAATAAATGTTTCAGATCTGGGCGAGAGATGGCGCTACGTCTAAATGATCGCCATTTTGGTTTTTGATTATCGCGCAAATACACGTAATAAAATATTCCACTCAAATTACTGTAACGAAAAATCTAAAACAATATTACACGTAGGTATGATTATGTAGGTAGGTAAGTAGGTAGGTAAATTTAACACAATCGAATGAATCTAGATGGCCATTTCCATTTTTGCCAAAAAAATGGGCGTGACTCAAAAGTAGGTCGACTGGCGTGCTCCAAAATAGGACGTTCAAACCTCTCCCATAGGAGTAACAACTGTATGCAATTTGAAACATGTGGGTCAAACAGTTCTTGAGTTATCGTTGACCGTAGGCAGACACTGAAATGCATAGTGAAATTGCCAAAATCTACCTAATTTGCATAATTTAAAAAATATATCAAAACTTGTGTGATATGTTTTGGGGCCAGTCCTCATTCATTCACATACCAGAAATGAGCAAAATCCGTTGAACCTGAACTGACTTATGGCCATTTCCATTTTTGCCAAAAAGTGGACGTGGCTCGAAACTAGGTCGACTGGCGTGCTCCAAAATAGGACGTTCAAACCTCTCCCATAGGAGTAACAACTATATGCAATTTGAAACATGTGGGTCAAACGGTTCTTGAGTTATCGTTGAACGTAGCCAAATGTTGACGGACGGACGTACGTACGACGGATGACACCCCATGACAATAGCCGAGCTAAAAATGTACAAAATCCGTTGAACCTGAACTGACTTATGGCCATTTCCATTTTTGCCAAAAAGTGGGCGTGGCTCGAAAGTAGGTCAACTGGCGTGCCCCAAAATAGGACGTTCACACCTCTCCCATAGGCGTAACAACTGTTTGAAACATGTGGGTCAAACGGTTCTCAAGTTATCGTTGACCGTAGCCAAAGGTTGACGGGCGGGCCGTTGTCAACGGACAACGCCCCATGGCAATAGCTCATCTTGACGATGTCAAGGTGAGCTAAAAAGTGAGGTGACTATCTATATCCCAGATAAGATGCTGACGTTGGCCCAACGGCTGTCTTCAGCCTATGCCAACGTTGGGCCAATGGATTTTTGCTCAGCACGCCAAAGTTAGCCCACCGTTGGCCCAACGTCATGCAGCCAACCATTTGCAAGTAGCATCATGCCAACCACACGCCAACGTTGGCCCAACGTCATGCAGCCAACCACTTGCCAACCGTGACCATGCCAACCATACTCCAACGTTGGCCCAACATCATGATTATTGCCAACCACATGCCAACCGTGACCATGCCAACGTTGGCCCAACGTCCTATTGCCAACCGTGATCGTGCCAACCCATGCTAATCAGAAACACAATCTGCATGTTTATAATGCTTACATTGTAACTCTCACAAACAAAAGATGATCACAAAGTTATAATACTAACTCTAAACTTACATTTTCTGGCTTCATCTTCTTTTCCTTTTCTCACCAGCAGGTAGCGTGGGCTTTCCTTTGTGAATGGTAGAGTCCATAGTTGCAATACCGACGTGAATGCCGTAAAACCTGTCAGAGAAGCATTGCCACTGAAGCCACTATACCTCACACCTATGCGCACATCGACTTAGCGACCCAAACGATTCACAGGTCAATGACTACATGTGTAGGTTCAGGGTTTCTTCTGAGGAAAAATTAGACAAAGGAGGTAATGCTCAGTTTGGGACAAACAGGATGGCACTCCAACCAATCAAATAATGGAAAAGTGTAGATCTTGCATCACATGACTCAATAAATGCACATCGCAATCTAAACATGTTGGAAGCACGTGGTGAATCTGGTGATCTATTTATTTTTCGGTTGACACTATTTTGACAACGGCGGGTAAATACATACACATTTTCACAACGGCGATGTTAAATTTGACAACGACGGTGCGCCTCTTATGTATAAGAAACCCTGAGCTTACAAGGCAAATATGTGTTAAATGTCTTACTTAGAAGGATGGGCCAATAGTCACTGTTTCCCAAAACGTGAGGTAATCCAAGTGCCGTTGAAATAAGCATGGATGATGCAAATCCCAATTCATACAGGCCACCAAGAGCACCACGGAGATGACGAGGTGCAATCTCCATGAAGTGTATCGTAGCGACCGAACATAAACCTGCAAAATAGACATTCCATTTTAGTTTGATCCAAATTTTTAAGTTTGTGACCGAGCGACAATATTATAATTATGTAAAGGCACAAACGAAACCATTTCTGACGAACCGATTTTTGAGAGGAATCACAAGAAGATATGGTGCGGGCAATAGCTCACATTAACATCTAACTGATATGAACATTAAGGTCTATAAAGACTATTATTCAAGTATTTACATGGATACATATATGCATGTAGAGCCAATAGAACAGGATCTCATTTGATGCAGCCACACTGACGAGTCAAAATCAGCTTGGCCAGATTTTGTTATTACAATTGTGACTTAACTTTGATGCCAACAAACGTAAACACACTGCATGATCTACTTATCGGCCAACCTCTTAAATGTGATAGAAGGTTACTACATGAAGAAAAAATCTATAGAAGTGTTACCTAAATGTACTTGTGATAACACTCTTCTAATAATATTTTCAACCACTATAATTACCTGCTACAACTCCATAGAGGAAACGGGCTACAATGATCATCTCAAATGACATTGCAAATTTAGACAGACCCATTATAGCAGAAACGGCGAAAATCACAAAGTTGATACAAATCATCATGCCTTTCCTGCAAAAAATGAAAGATTTTATGTTTCCTATTATCTACAAATATCACAACTGAGATACATTTTCAGAATAAAAAAAATAAACAAGTTGCTATGTGAGAAAATATTCCACATGCAAGTGGGTTTTGTGATCAGATAAGAGGGGGTATAAACTGCCCTTTTATAACATGGGTAGGATAGGACTATTCTAGGTTTTTGATCTATAATTCTCTTCACTAACGCCGTACTTCAATTCACAGGTGTGTTTTTGTTTACATAAACATTTACAAATATGATTGTGGTCGTTTGGGATATTTTGCAATGTTTGTGTTAATGCAAAACCTAAAAACACGAGTGTTTACATTAATAATGTACTTTCTTTCCTAAGTGCGCCTCAGACATTTCATACCCACTTTTTCTGTGACCTACATAGCACAGAGCTCTGGACATTCCGATCTCACATATTTTTAGAAATTATTATGTAAAACAATAAATACATGAAAAACATGTCACCATGACGATCAATATACTCTAAGAACAGCTGCGAATTAATTAGACCAACTCAGCTATCATGCAGTTTAAATATTATTTTACAAGATAGCTATAATGCCATGCACATTCCAGAATCATACACATTGGCCGGTGCATTGCGAGCTGTTTTGCACAAATTTTTTAGATAGCCAAACCCCTGGCCTTTTTTTATATTTTATTTTACTTATAATTCTGTGAATTTTTACTAAAGGGTTTAATCCAGACATTATCCAGTTTTAGAATTCTAACATCTGATTATACAGAAGCACACCAAATTTATTAATTACTAGAAATAAGTATATTAATCTTTGCACTGGTGCAAACCATAATATACCACAATACACAAACATCATTAAAACTTATTTACTTTGTTTATAATTATAACTTTGCCCTTTATGCAGCCTGCCAACCAGAGAAAAAATTAAAATGTATTTTTCGGGGCTACTTTTTAAGCTCGCGTGCATGAAAATAGCACTCTAAAATTTGGTTTGCATTGAAATCTATGCAGGCTCTTTTTGGCATTTCCGGGGCTCTTTTTGGCATTTCGGAAGCTAAATCGCCCCGAGCCCCCATGTATTTTTTCACTGCTGCCAACATCTGAATCTCAGTTAGCAAATTTTTGGCAACCACAACAGTGTGTTATAGCCAGAGGCCCGTCTACCAGTCTTTTGGACGGCCTATTCTTGGATGAGACGGATGAAATCTGATAGAAACGGCATGAGAGCGACCCAATTTTGCCCCTGCATGAAAACATCATGATATCCTTCTTCCAACAAAACAATATTTTTAATAGCATCACCGCTCTAAAATACACTCTAAAATTAGTAAAACTTGACATCATCTCCATTTCATAACACAAACCTTTTCAGCAGAATAATTGGGGGAGATGAATCCATAAATGTTGTCAGTGAAACATTATTATGTAGAGTAGATGCATTAATGATACCTTGTATAACTGACAACAGTGCTTATAAGAATATAACATCATATCAGATTCCTGGTCTTTTTGGCATTTCAGACTAAATTTCTTCCATTATAAGGTAAGGTTTTACAAATTTTCCACATCGTAGGAGGGGGAAAACTCTTCCCACACCCTCCTCCCCCCCTAGGGCACTTTGCACCCGCAGCATCCTCGCATCGCTCAGATGGTGAGACTCCCTGATTTTTTCCCCTGGCTAACACCCTGATCCACAATCTCTCAACAATTGTTGTTACTAACTTATCAAAATCAAATATAAAAATATTGTGTGATAAGATGACAAGGAATGACAAATATCTATGTAAACATACAAAACTGAATAAGTAATATGTTCATTCCAATAATGAAGTGGACGGGGGAGATCGTGATACCAAGTTCACATTAAATTCAAATCATATATAAAAACATCTAGATAGTATTTTAATGCAGAATGCCAACCACCTTTATATAATAGCATAAATTAAACTACGAAAAGCCAGAAAAATCTTTTTAAAACCAGTTCCCTGCAATTACTACTAGGTCATGTTTAAAATTCTGTAACAGTTGCCAATAAAAACTGCACTCATACGAATTCAGTTATAGGTGTGGCTGTTACAGGTATACCTTCTCATCAACTCAGTACACAGTGGCAATTCTGTAATCAATAGTTGGAATAGATATTCGATCGCTTTGTCTATATATGCCATGATAAACACTTCGTTGCCCCATGACCCTACAGCCACAGAGTCAACCAGAATTCAAGACAATAGACACAGATGGATGTTACGCAATAACAAAACGTGAAACAGCGGATTAGATGAGAACATAGCTATGGAATATTTAATGAATGGTATAGTGCACCAGTTTGTACACGTGTCTGTACTAGCTCGATTGCTAGTGGTGCGTGGGTAGTGAGTGAGTAGTTTGCCTATCCGCTATGCCCCGGTTTGGAAAGCTGCACCAGCTGCGATCAATATCACCCATTGCAAGCACACGGACAGTACAGCAGGATGCAAAATCTATGGAGCATGACAACAGTGTAAAAATGTACAGTAAAATGTTTTAATATCTATTCAGTTTCAAAAACGCAATTATTTTAGTTAAACTTTACATACTAAGAATATTTTAACATAGAACAGGGGTATAACCAACATTTTCAAACACAGTAGAGAACCTGCGCATTATATAGAGCTACGTACGTACTACCATTGCTACCTCGTAATACTTCTTATAATATTCAAGTATATAATAGAGGTTTACCTTCCGAGCAGGTCCGTGAGATAACTTAGTGACAAGCATCCAAAAATGGCTCCAACTGAGTAAAGCGCTGAGTTTACTGACCAATATAACCGGAGCTGTGGTTCATCCATATACTCTCCCCTTGTATGATTATATGACTCATTGAAGAACTGCTCCAACAGCTGTTTTAAAGCAAGGAAAACAACGCATTATTATTATTACAATGCATAGACTATCTTTGAATTAATTTTACTTTAGCTAGACAACACGAAATGAGCGTCATTGAACAGTTTTCCTGCGTACGCCACCGCTCAACGTTTTGAAGGAAATCCATAAGCCACATAGTGAGTATAGGAGCGCTCTGACGATATTCAATTGTAAATTAAGTAAACAAGGAGTTAGCGATTGAGCACATAAGCCCCGTTCACACGGAGCACTTTGACCCGGGTCGAAAACGATCCGTGTCAAATGCGTCCCGGGCCACGCGTTCTCACGGACGTATTCTCGGTACGAAAACAACCTGTGTCATTTCGACCCGGGTCGTTTTCGCACCCACTCCAGAGTGGTTGCAAAAAACGACCCGAGCGCTGGTTCATATTTGCCGTGTGAACGCGCACCGGCACACGACCCGAGTCAGAATTAGTACGGCGGTAGACGGCGCCAGTGTCGAGAGCCAGAGTTTGATTGTTCGCTTGATTGTTCACTTGGACGCACTGCATTTTTTTCTCAGCTCGCAGCTCGCATAGCAGCAGCTCACATATATGTCCAAGAACTCATCGATCAAATGTCGTGTGAACGCTCTCTTCAACAACGCTCTGTGTCGTTTTTGATCTGGGTCAGTCTCGGATCGTTTTCGACCCGGGGGTTTTCGCTCCGTGTGAACGCGGCTATAGTATGCAACAGTACCCACCTCTTGTGGAGCATTCATGACAACCATGTTGTAGCCGAATGGGAACGTAGTGCCAACAGTGACACTTATGGCTGTGAATAGGAGAGCCGGGGTCAATCCCTGCAAACAAGAACCGACAGTTAATTGCTGGAATTATGCATCTTATTTTATGAAAAAGACGTTTTACTTTTAACATGATAGTAACGTATAACACGTACGTGGATTTCCAGTCACACATGATTTACTATGTACAAATGCTAAAAATGTATAGAACTATTATTTAAAAACTAAAAAACAAGACACTTTTGTACGCAGGATACATCCACATGACCCTATTCAATGCAGATCCAATATCTAAACTAAAATGATGAGCTGTACAGTGCAGCTACTCATCACACCTGCTGTTGTTATAAATATATATATATTTATTTATTTATTTATATAGATATACAATATACTTAATGATCACACGAATCCACGTAAGGCAATGCTAATGACTTACCTGATCTCTTAATCTCTACATGCAGCAAAGATGAGCCGCAAGTTAAATAGATGTGGAAAAGTAAAAGGTTATGTATAGGTGTATGCATGTAGAATATCACATAACCAGAGAAAATTAGGATTTGATATTCATTGCCGAGTTCAGAAATAAAAATTTGATGATACATGTACCATATTAACAGAAGTAGACAATAGGGAAGGAGTGTGACATCAATAAACAAGGGAAATTCGCAATTTACTAGCCTTAGAATACCTACGATTTACTACGCGTAACTCAACCAACTTGAGCTCAAATCGTACACAGTACATTCGCCTAGCATCGTGCGAAATTGTTTCCTCGTATACACCCGCAATCCGGAGATACAGACTAAAACGTACGACATGGAGAATCGTGTCGTACGTTTAAGTCGTAAAAACGAGTTACGCATAGTAAATCGTAGGTATACTATTCTAAGACTAGTAAATGACGAATTTCCCTTGTTTATTGAAGTCACACTCCTTCCCTAATATCTACTTCTGATATTAATAATAAACCTTTGTAGAATTAAACATCTTACACTGTAGCCATTGTGACAATATGGTGTCAACGTGATCTGGTTTTAAAAATATACAAGCTTAAATGTTGGAAAGAGACATTACTTTATATGAATGAGCAAATGAGAAATTTAGTTCATTAATTACAAACATGATGACAGAAACTGATTTTCAATGGACATTTCTACTTTTACAACCACATGCGTTTTTCAATAACATTAAAACAAAGTCTATATATTTTCAGGTATATAAGACACTTAAAATAATTACATTGTAAATATTGCCCTGCATTTTAAGTGAAGTTCCAGCTTCCCACAGTCTAATGACTTACATAGAACTAGAAGATGACTCTAGTAGGCTACTAGTACAGTCCACCTCACCAAATTCCAGAATGGTTACTTTTAAACATTGTTATTATTAATATTACTACTACAGTATTACTATTTATATGAAGGAAAACTTTTTTCTGTTATACACATTTCAGTTAACATTAAAATACACCAAAAACTTTTTCCTAAATATTGCACACTGAAATAGGGGATGCGCCTTAATATATACCATAAAATGAGGTATTCAGTGGCTTTCGCTTTGCACTTTCGAGTGATGATCGCTTCATGTACCTTCATGAGTATACACCAACTCCAATCATACAACATCAACTTGCCAATGTACCATATATTGCAAAGCCAACTACAGTCAACTCTCCAAATACTAGACGTTCTCAAAACTGAATATCACGTTGAACCGGGCGATTTTTTAAGTCCTAACACCACCTGAGACATGTAAGGTATGCCTAGAATTGGCCTCATATAAACCGAACGTCACAGAAAACCAAACTAAATGAACGATTCCGAGAGTAGTCGGTATTTGGAGAGTCGACTGTATTGCATTCTCTTCATTATAGCAAGCACGTGAAGCGAATGTGACCATTTTCGATTGTCAATGCTTTACGCACTCAATACTGTTTATGAAGGTCACTGAAAACTCTCTACTAGCCATCTCTGGTAAGCTCTGTATACAGACAGCCTCAAGCATAATATGCAATAACATGTAGACCATTTACAACAAACAGGCAATGGCATCAGCAGCGCACCCATCTAAGAAAGCACCACAGGCACAGGAAGCATCAGTGATTTTAGTTTCCACGTGGTTTCCGTGGGTGAGTGCAAGTATAGCTAGCTGGTCAGAAAAATGTGCAAGCGATGCAAGTGTTTCCAAAAACCTTTGACGAATCAAATACATAATAATTATATTAGTATTCGCAGTAGCGCTGAGCGTAGCAAAGTGCCTTTAGGCAGACTGAGCTCTATAAACCAGCAAGATTCCGTGATTCCTGCAGCAACTAACAATTAAGCTACAGTGCGTTTCTTGGATGAACAAACACATTTGGTTACCACATGGCTGCACACATAGCACTGTGTAACATATTAAAGTATCATACTCATCTTATATATCTCTTCTATCATACCAACCTTATTGTGAGTTTGCAACCAACATCGCTTTAATGGTACCAAATGATAGGATATGTGATACATGTATGTAATCTAACATATTGTGTTTTTAAGATTAAATGAGTCTCAAAAAAATCCTTCAAAGTGAAATTGTTACCTAGAAAAATGTAAGCATTACAGCAAAAATATATCGTGTATAATAAGCTCTTGGTAAGCATAAAAGGGGGATGCAAGACACTCAAATCCTGGCAGTTGAGCAAGGGCCTTGTTGGGAATATCACCTATCCCTGGTCATGTGTTCCCAAATGAACAAATATACACAAATATACACTTATAAATGCATATAGGTATGCCCATGCAAGTACACTGCAAGGAGAATAGAGGTTGACACTAGTCTGCCTGGCTATATACCTACCCGGGTTTTCTCTCTCATGAAGTCCCTGCAACCCATGATTAGAGATCAATTATTCTTTCACAATTGTTGTTACGCTGTATCCAAGTTGTAGAACGATGATTTATTGTTGCAAATCCAAGTCCATTACATGTAAACCTACAATATAAATGGCAATTACTATTAACCACATTCATGCACAGCTAGACTAACTGAAACTATTTGCACAATACAATGGTAAAACGATATGTATGCAGGGTGCGAAATTAACGAGAGTCCGGAGTCAAATACTCCCTGATTTACTGTCGGACTCCCTGATTTGACATATATATATGCAGGACTCCACGTGACTCCCTGAAAATTCTGCTATACTAACTAATTCGTTCCAGAGCACGGCCTCGCGGAATTACAGTATTTTTTCAGCAAATCTTTAATTTTGAATTTCAGACTACGGACTCCCACATTTTGCTGCGAACTCCCTCTTTTTGAGGGCGGGGAGGGGAGTCCGTTTCACTCCCCTGTTCAAAAGTACATTTCTACCCCTGTGTATGTATCGTCAACTGCAGTTTTCAGATATGGGCACATAATGGGGGAAGTGGTGAGGCACCGATTTTAATAACAACATAAATATTCTCATAGTTTCATGACTTGGTAGCCCCAACTGCATGTTCTTTGTCAGAAAAGCATCTTACTTTAAGCCGGGCTTAGGTCGGCCTTGCTACGCGACGCGATTGCTTTGCGACTGATTTTCTGCAACTGGTTGCAAGTCACAGTGACGATCGCGTCGCAGAGAAAGTTCAACCTAAGAACCCCTGTGACTGCCAGTGACGGGTCTGCGACGCTCAGCGACTGGAAAATTGCCAATCGCAGCGAGTCGCACATATTCTACTTTTGCGATGCGACGCAACTAGTTCCACCGGTTGCAAGCATTGCTTTTCAGGGTTACTACCCGACATAAGCTTCCTTGCGAAGTTGCGATCGCTGCGACGAGATTCGTATGCACAATAAACAATGCATGCGAATAAAACAATCAGTGCATAGTCACGTACACAACATGCACACAGCAACAAGCCATGTAAACTCATTTAGTTGCGCGATCTATAGGCGATCGTCGCTTCGAGCAATGCGCCTTCTGCGACTGCCTGCGACTGGTCGCAGGCAGTTGCTGTCAGTCGCGTCGTCGTCGACCTAAGCACTCAGTCGCAGTGAGTTGCAGTGGGTCGCGTCGCGTTGCATTCAATCGCAACCCGACATAACGCCGGCTTTACCCATCACAATGGAGCAAGAGGTGGAGGGAAAGAGAAGCAGGGTGTCACTGTTAGCCAGGAAAAAAACAATCAGGGAGTCTAAACATCTGAGCGAAGAGAGGATGCTGCGAGCGCCAAGCACCGTAGGGGGGAGGGTGTGCGAGCCACGAGGAAAAACCAACAAATTTATTTTCACGCAGGATTAAAAATTATAAAAAATTGGACCGCCCCTATCAAATTTCATCCGTCTCATCCAAAAATGGGCCGTCCAAAAGACGGGTCTCTGGCCAACACACTGAAGAGACGGGAGAGGGACAGAGAGGGAGAGAGAGAGATATAGAGGGAGAGGGACAGAGAGGGAGAGGAAAGGGGGAGAAGAGGAAAGGGAGTGGGACATGAGGAGAGGAAGAGGAAGACACCTCATAATTATGCAAGGTTGCCTGTCTCTGTATATGCCATAACTATACCTGTATTATTAAGTGAATCGTATAATATAACTGCTTTGTTAGTGGTTAGTAGAATTATTCATCAATGAGGGACCCTTTAAAAAAGTCAGTATGTGGGGCATTTGCATAAAAATCGTGAGCTTAAAGGTGTTCCTATTGGCACTACAATGTATGCAACCTACCCGTTAGATGGGTTCCTGGTTGTTTTTACACAGCTAAACAGTGAGGACCTAGTCTAATGTAAAGCCTGCTGGGGGACAGTACACACATTTGGAAAAATTGGATTGGGATTATGACCACGGTTAACTTGTCTAACAGTTCTCGGAGAGGTGAGACATTGGACACTTCTCCTTTAAATAAAATGGCCATTACAAGGTGCAAAATAACCTTCTTTGTCTGGTAGTTACACCGACTGTACAAGACTTTGTAATCTGGTGGTTCGCGAGCAATTGTCTTAGTTCAGAATTTTGTAATAGTCTGTCTACGTCATAGCAGGCCATTGTGCATTCACTGATGATGTCAGTGAGGAGCAGATTTCATCAGCCAGTATGTTCACTCAGAAACAAATAGAACGCATTATTGATTTTTGCTCAACATTCTTACTTCACTCCAACGAGTATAATACTGCATCTGCAGTACATAAAAAAGGTCACTATATACTTTAGGATACATTCAATTTGTGTAGCTGATGTGTGAAGCATACTTGCCAAAAACAAATTATATATTTCACAAAATTAAAACACCACCATGTTAATGTTAGTATTTGAATTACATTTCATGGCCTCATTACAGTACTGGATAATCTTTTTGTTCGTCTTAAAGGACAATTGAAGTCAAATTTTCTAACTTCTGTAACGTTTTTATACATAGAAATACATTCAATAACGTATTCCATTTCAAATCCGGCGCCCAATTAGTAATCAACACATGAATAGTAATCCAGAGAGACATGATAAAAGATTGCGTGGCACAGCTTTGCTGTTGATCCTAAGCGCTGCGCGCGGATTAGACGCGCAGTTCCGCGGGATATGCGCACGCAACCGCGGGGATGTTCAAGTATGAAGCGCTGTCCGCAGTGGAGACGTGCGCCAAATTCGAGGCACGGCGCACGTCTTCACAGCGGTCAGCGGATGGTCTGTCGTTTTAGAAAATGAAAATGATTATATATTGACGATATTGTAGGAGATTATAAAACCGTAACAAAAATTGACTCCTGACCGGCACTTTTTCTCTTAAATATTACGCTGAAATACTACGGTTAGCGGTCTGTCTGTGTGAATGAAATTGAATAAGAATGTGATTGGTTTCTTAGTCAAGTGAAATAAGATAAAAAAAATGTGATCGAATGTAATTTGTTGACGATTTCTTGACACTGATAGTCTGATACTGGGTGCCGAATGCGCGCTGAATGGTGATGAATGATATTAGAGTCAGGGCATCAAAATTATGAAAATTTTAACAAAATCAAGCTATGAAAAAGTAGCTCTGGCCAAGCATAAAATAGCTCCTGTAAAAAAAATTACGAGAGCTCTTTTTTCATACAAAATCAAAAAAGAGCTCTCGTAAAAAAAAAAGTAATTTTAAGGCTGGCTCACATGTGGCGATTTTTATCGACATTCAGTACTGGCGATTTTGTACAGGTCACGTACAGTTCATACAATGGTATGTTGCTGACAGATGGTTGCATTGTCGCCGGGTCCCGTACACGTGTAGATTTTGATCGACAGTACTGTCGATAAAAATCGCCACGTGTGCACCCGGCTTTAGGTATCACGAAGTGATGCACAGATTTCTGTGTATCATCAACTGATGCACAGATTTCTGTGTATCATCAACTGATGCACAGACTTTCGTTCCGTATATGAAAGAATGATGCAAAAACCCTAACCCTAACCCTAACATTAACACACTTCATGATACCTAAGCCTAAGGTTATACTTTATGACTAAGGGTTAGGGTTAGGGTTTTTGCATCATTCCCTGATATACGGAAAGTCTGTGCATTAGTTGATGATACACAGAAATATGTGCATCCCTTCGTGATACCTAAGGTGCCTAAATTGGATTTGCACCAGTTTCTGTATATTATAGCATTTATTGTAATATCTCTCTAGACTAGTTCTCCGTATTGTTAACAAGAACAATGGTAAGGTATTAACATCGCATTCGACCACTTGTGAAAACTTACGTGGCTAGGTAAATGTATTTGATCGTAAAATGACTGACGAAAGGCGTCTTACGTCACGAATTGATTTTTACACAAATTTACTCTACTCTACACTACAGTACAGTACACACCAAGTCAGGATTTACAGACACACACACACACACATACATATATATTATATAATAATACACATCAAGATATACTCTGTTAGTGTTAGCGTATACATACATACACGAATTGTCAACCTACCTTCGTCAGACGAAACAATTTAGTCACTGTACGCCGGTAAAATGCTGTAACACAACGCAAGATGCACCTAACGGAAAATGGACGTCTACGAAGCGCGGGTCGCGACAATGGGCAATGGCTCGGCTCGCGCGCTGTTCGCCGTAACGCGTGGAACGCGCCGCAGCAGCATTGTCATGCGCACTGCGCAATACCATGACGCGCATATACGGGCTATGTACACGACCCGGGGACAAAGCAGCGCGCCGTACAGGGTATGAGATGTTGAGTAACAGCCGGAATTGATTTCCTTGCTATGACATCACAGGGAATGTATGTCGAAATCGCAACGAACATAAAAGGTGCAACCTGCGAGTGGGCGGTGTAGATGCGTCAAGGGTCAAAGCTATCTTACACACAGCTGGTCTGCTTATCATCACTCGCTATAAAAATAATAATGATAATAATTACTGTTATTATTATAAAACTAATAATTATTATTTTATTTTATTTTTTGTTATTTGTTATATATGCAGGGGCGTGTACAGGAAGGGGGGGTCCAGGGGGTCCGGACCCTCCCTGCTCGCGCAGAAAACGCATCTAAGGCCAGTAAGGGGGTCTAATTTCAAAAAATTTCTGGGAGAGGGCCCCCAGACCCTTCTCTTTGCGTGCTCGCAAGTTTAGGTTACGGTTATACCCCCCCCCCTGGTACAAATCCTGTACACGCCCCTGATATGCGTTATTCACGTGAACATATCACGTAGATTATAAAACAGAATGCGTACGACGTAATTATTGAACATTCAGAATTTCGCATAGCGTTGGCCTAATATGTGCGTTGCACAACGTACGTTCTCTATATATACGCACGCGCACACGCACCTGAATAGACATTATAACCAATATAATTTCCCTCAATACAATGGAAATTGATCTTAATCTTAATTGATTACTCAGTGTCGACCGCTGTTCTACGCTTAATCACACAAACTGCTGATATAGCGATGGAGAGAAATATAATATCAAATTATATATCTACGGGGAGGGGAGCAGCTGCCCTTTAGATTTTGGAGCAAAATGTAAAAAAAGCTGAACTAATAATCGTGAATAATTCTAACGTGATTATTTTGGTCATTTATCCGTGAAAGCCTTGTTTCAGACCCACCCCTACCACACTACATATGGACGTCGATCAAGAGTTGCGTCCGTCGCTCATCATTACGCAGTTGCGTCATTAAATTTTGCCCCTAGGAATTTGCTCAGCCTACGGTCCTGATATCAAGAGTAAGTAATTTTTAGTAATTAGGTTATTCGCTCTTGATAATATGAATTTAAATGTTATCATACGATATTGTATGTATAGTTGTTTCTATGACAAGGCAAAAGAGGATACACATGATTAATTATTATAACACGCGCAATGCTTGGCCAAACTGCAACCGGCATTTACGGCGACACATTAAGCTTCCATCATAGCTAGAGACTATATATGTGTGTCTCATAGTTCAGAGAGCAAGTGGAATATAGTGCCTTGCTGAATGATATAACCGCAGAGACCGAGTGGGGGGCTCAAACGCCCCAAAGCAGTCGTTACAGTCCGAACTGAGTTGTGTGCGCTAACTTCTACCCGGCCCACCGTCTCCTTAACCTACGATACGGGACTGTAGACTACCGGTTATAGATTTTGATCACAGTTCAGTGACGGGGAAATAATTAGTATGCGTAGCGTTCCGTGCTTTTCTCACTACTGTTTGTGAAATACAGTTGTATAATACGCAGTGGCTACGCGTCCGGTCATCCATTACAAAGCTCAGCACAGATTCCCAAATCCACGTCACGATTAGGCCACGCCCCTTTCAAATCGTTCATTTTACCATAGATATACACAACACATGTGTGTGTTGTGTAGGGCCCATATCTATGATTTTACTGTAAGCCTATTTACTATTGCTTCAAAGGTTACAAAAACACATTTTGTTGATAAAATACCTAAAGGTAAGTAATATTATGGTAAAAACTTATTGTATACTGTTTTTTAATAAAAAAATATAGTTGAGTTCACATAAGAAATATATGACCGGACGCGTAACCTGAGAGCTGGGCGTCCGGTAACCGGCCAATACAATATACGCATTTCAATTTCATAATATGATCTTAATGTATGCATTTAATTGTTGCTTTGAACATCTCACTGCTTGAAGAGTTGAGCCACAGTTAGTTGGTTTCAGTAAGCGTGTTGGGTGTTGTAGCCACAAAATCTTCTTCATAATTTATGCTTTGATAATGCCCTACTAACGTTACGTTGATGGTATTGTAATGCTAGGTTTGAAGAACGATATTTTTCTTTTGTTATCTATAATAATTATGTTCTTTGCTGTTTTCTGCTATTAAACTAAGCATTCTTCTTCATCTTCATCGCCAAGTGTTTAGTCCAATCGTAACTGGACGTTGCCATATCTCTTCTTTCTCTGCATATCAGAACTGTCATATAGATAGTATCAGGACTAGGCTAATTCTTATCCGGAGTTTGTTTGCATTATTATTATTATTAGGTGCATGCTTAAATTTCATTTGTCGTTAGTTTGTAGCTTGTTATACGTTCAGGTGGCTAATCCTAACGCTGAGTTGAAGTACGTTATTGTGCAAAGATTGATTACACATTAGTTCGGTTCATATGGCGATAACGATCAAGGAATGGGGGCTTAAAGTGCAACTACTTAGGCGAATGTTGGGCGCTTTTATGTACGTTATCTTTTTTAATCATATCCGTTCAAAACATTGTCCATGGGTATCAAGGGCAGTTCAGCAATAAGCCACTTTGGCATTTCGAGAATCGTCATGCGTTGATAGACCACTTGTCTACTAAACACCCTGTTTAATTATAGCAATAATTGATATAATTATCACATTTAAGCTTCGCGGTGCTTGATCCGCCACTGTCTACGCAACAACGGCGTCTGTGTTATTATAGAGTGGCGAGCCTAGTTAATTAGCTAAGATCAAGTTAAGAGCTATAGTTAACTAAGAGCTAGTTAGCTAAGATCAAGGTACTATAAGCTCTTGCTAAGATCTATGTCTTGGCCACGAATGGTATATACAAACCAGGCCTGTAGCCAGCTTTATATGGAGGGGGGGTTCGTTTTTAAATGTTGGCAATTTGTGAGGGCGCGAAGCGACCGAGCGATGGAGCATAGCGACCGAGCAGGGGAGGGTGTGGGAAGGGGGTGTCCCCCCTCCTACACGATAGAGATTTTGCAATTATTACACTAAAATGGAGCGATCTGGTGCATACCTGAGGTGAAATTCTTGCAAATTTTCAAATGGAAAAATTATTTTTATTCATTTTTTTGCTCGGGGGGGGGGGGTTGTGCGAACCCCCCAAACCCCCCTGGCTACGGGCCTGTACAAACAACCGAAGTCAAACAGCGATATTGGAACATATATGATCAAATAAAAAAAAATTTAGAAAAAGCTTGCTGCCAAGATAATATGTGATGCTTTTGCGATTGATTGGCGCTGGTTCAGATACTATTCATGTAGTACCGCGTTGAAGGACAGTTCTTTTTCAGCGAACACCAAACATGACTCGCCACGAAACTTCGCAAACATTTGAATGTTATTACATTATTGACTTAAACTACGTGAGCTCATTTTTAGGTTCCGTTATCGCGAATATTTATCAATCTACAAGTTCAAGTCTTTAACATTGGCCTAATACTAAACAGGGGACAGGTCTAGAGGGATTACTTTTGTAAGCGTTCTGGAATATGGCTCATATATACATGAATTGAGGATTTAGCTAGATTTATCCTAGCGCTGTATCCGTTGCTTGACAGAATATACCGCTTTTCGTAGATGTTTGCGCTTGTGTTTGTCACTGCTAGCCTGCTAGGATACCAACTGTTTTCTTTGAGCAGTTATTTTGTTTGGCTAATGCGTTGGCGGCTTTTATGGGTTGCATGGAGAATTGTCTCAGTTTACTAATTATTGCAGTTCTAACGCGCTTGAGTGGTACTTTGTATGATGGTGAGATTGGCTGACAGATAATCGTAATTCATCTGTAGTTCTTGGGTTTATATGATTGATTATGCGACGAATTTTTACACGTGTTTCCCCATCAATGTTGTTACCCAATGTAACGCATATAGTTCACAAACGATTGCGGTTCTAGAGCCTCACATAGGAATGACGTTATAAAAACGTGTTTCGATCGCTATTAAATATGACGTCGGCTTTCTAAACACGCACCAGCAACTTCTGTTTGTTCAAGTGTCTGTATGCGTAGACAGACGTGTCTGCTACGTGCTACGTGAGTTTCGGCGCGTCGTATAATTTATAGTGGTTACTAGCTATCACCTTACGACAGAGCGTCCGTGTATGCACGTACCTCGATCTGTATAGATAATAGGTTCACGTAAGTACGGCGGCGAGCATAATAAAGAGTCACTTTCTCGTATACGGTGGCAGCTACTCAGACTTTCTGTACATATAGTCCATGGGCCAGACCTGCTCAAATGTACCATTCAGAGGAACCAGCCGGATGTGGTATAGATTTGAAGCTTAGCCTAGGGTGATTACAAAAAGTCATGATAGCAATCCCGAAAGAGTAGCTTTCTTGTATATTTTTAACTCGGAAATATCGTATATATAGTCGATTTGACGTTCTTATGTATTCAATACCCAAACTAGAAATATATTCTTTCCTATGATGTTTTTTTGCTGATTTGTACTCATATAGAGTCCTAAAACAAATTAAGCTTGGTTGCCCAAATGGCAAATTTGGGCAACTCTAGTAATTTGCACACATCCAAAATGGCCGCTGGACTCCATCTTCAAAATTGAACTTTTTAACCACTTGACCTAAAATGATGTGTAATACATCTTTTATAGGTGTTTTAGGTGCGTAGAATCTATTTCTGACGTTATTTTTCTGGTTCAAGGTCAGGGTCAGAAGCTAAAGGGCAAGTCAAGGTCAAATTTTACTTTTCAGCAATGAACAATGAATGGAAATTTTAACTAAATTACATTTTAGTTTATTCATGCAGAGGAATGGATAATCATATATCATTTGACATATTTGGCGCTGAAAAACAGTAAGAAGCCATATTTGAAACATGTGATCACACCTGTTAACACG